GCATCGGTTTTGTGACGTGGCAATCAACATTTTATAGCCAATGCCACGTCATATGACACCAAGGACTCCATGTCACAATATTTCCACGTAGGAAATACACCTGCAGATAAAAAAAAAAAAATCAAATTCACACAATTTAAAAGCCAGATTTTCCCTGCAAGGGGCTTTCTTCTCCAGCGATAAACAAGACGTATACAAAAAAAAGTCTTCGCGATTTTGTTCTCGATCTTTTCCCAAAGTTTCACCTCCACAGATGCAGCGGCTTGATTCTTCAACCCATAAATCGACTTCATCACAACACTTCTTTTCATGTCATAAAATCCACATGAATTCCTCAAACAATTGTAGAAGGGCTGCGGCAGAAGAAAGATACGTACCTAGGGTTTTGTTGCTCAAACAATTTAGGGATCTTGATCTAGAGTTGAAATGAAATCCTCAAGCATAGCACCAATCGCTTTTTGGAGTGAAGAATAAGAGCGGCGACAGATGTTTTGGCTGAATCGGTAAGAAGAAATCGAAGAAGGGCCGCTATGAAGTTTTTCTTCCTTTTTTTTGATTCTGATTAATCGATCTGGCCGGATAGTATGTATGTCTGAGGAAAATCTGGCTTTTAAATTGTGTGAATTTGATTTTTTTTTTTTTATCTGCAGGTGTATTTCCTACGTGGAAATATTGTGACATGGAGTCCTTGGTGTCATATGACGTGGCATTGGCTATAAAATGTTGATTGCAACGTCACAAAACCGATGCCACATCAATTTACTGACACGCCATGTCAGCATCATCTGGCTGGAATGTTATTTCGATACACATTTGCAAAAATTAATAAAGGTTTAGTATTTTTTTGCCAAATTAAAAAGATGAAGTTTTATTTACAATTTAAGCAAATGTCATGATTTTTCCTGCAATTAACCCTATATATTATATGTATTGTTTGAACTGAACAACTGCTGTACTTAACACGACTACACGAGATATAAATGTAAAGCATAACGTAGCCCATATAAAATAGATAAGCAAGTGCACAGATCAATCACGATTCCTTAAAGTAACATTTTCAATTTCAATTACGTGTTTGGGAAAAATTGGTGCCAACTGGAGCAACATTGTCAAAACAAAACAAAACAAAATAAAAAAAAAAAAAAACATATAAATATATTATATATTTTGGTTATTATTTATCCAAATGGAATTCTGGTGGTGATTGAAGTTTCGTATTTGATTAGATTTACAGGATAAATTGAGTTAACTTTTAAACAAATTTGATTGAGTGAGAATTAAACTTATATTTAAAAAATATTTAATATATAATTATTAAATTTGATGTTATGTAAAAGTAAGGGAGAAGAAATTGAAAATGAGAAGCATTAAAAACATATGTGTGAACGAATAGTAAATTTATTGATGTGGTTGTTTGTATTATTTTTGGGCATGTGGTAATCGAGCTACCCGACTCGGGTCGTTCTCAAAGGAAGGTTGTTCGGAGTTTCCTTCACTACCTAGTCGTCAAAGTCACATAACCGAAAATAGGGTCCTACACATTCTACTCGCTTGAAGGGATTGGATTTGCATGAAATTAAAGTAAAAACCTAAAGCTAATGATGAAAATGCAAGAATCGAAAGAAATATCAAAGCATTGGTTGCACGGAATCTCCATAACTCGAGAAAATAAAGGAAAATAAGAGAAAACATGCGAGCATAGTGATCCTAGCTAGGTAATCTAGCACGAGCTTCTTACACTAAATCATCACGCTTTGAACAAAGTCGAGACCTTTATACTAGATAAGCACTAGATTCCTAACACACGTAAGCAAGCAATAAAAATAAAGCAAAAGCCTAGAAACGAGCATAAACACAATATCCGAGAACAAACTCGAAGTAGTAAGTCCTAAACAAGGTACTTACTCTCCTATCGCGTGCCCGGACGAAAATAATGAATAAAGCTCAGAACTTGGTTATAAGTTCTACAAATAATTAAGAACTAAAACGTATTTTGATAATACGTTTTAGTTTTTAATTATTTGTAAAACGTATAACAAAATACGTTTTATTTATTCATTTTTTAATACAGTAAAACGTATTCCGAGAATACGTTTTACACTTTAAAACGTATTCTCAGAATACACCCTTTTTATTTTTGTCTACATTTTTTTCTATTTTTGTTTTTGTCTAGTTAATTATTATTATTTTTATTAGTGTAAAAAATTGATAAATTAATGCAAACCGGTTTTTAGCAATAAAATAATAATACAATTGAAAAAATTGATGGAAATAGAAGGCACTAATTGTCTTTTGACTTTTATTGTTACTAATTTTAGTAAATAGGATGACTTTTTATATAGAATATGATATAGATTTTAACTACTGAGTATCCAGTCTTAGACAATATATATCAGCAAGGGGTCAATGAAAGGGAAAAAATAAAAACTCCACCCAACAAAAACTCCACTCATGGGTTTGGGTCGGGCTAACATGTCCTGACCTATTTATTTTTAATTGTAACTAGTACAATATCCGTATATTATACGGGTGTTGAATTAGAAAGTTTTTGTAAAAAATATTAAATTTTTCTATTTTTTTTTAAAAACTAAAATAATTTAATTTTATATAAAATATTACTTTGGGTTTTAATTAAATTGTCAAATTATATTTTTTAATCATAATAAAATTAAACACCCGTACATTAAATGAAAATGTCAACCCATGTTGAATTTTTTTACTTATATCATATAAAAATATCGATACTATTTACTATTACATAAGTACAAAAATATATATCTTAAATAAATATAAATAATATGGTGATATGTATATGCATAAGTGTAGAATATGTTTATTTAATATTAAACAAAATATTATTATATATTTTAGTATAACACATGTTACTTGTGTGACTTATATGTGTTATATTATAATAAATTTTCTACCTTAACATATAACTACATTAAACATAATATATTAATTGATAATAATTTATTATCTAATTAGTTTTAATAAATAATTTTTTTATTATCATAAAGATAAATATAATTTATTTATTTTATATATACAATATGGATGTCAAATCGAAGCTCATCTAAAGATGATTAATTTGATATATTATATATGTAAAACCGATAAGCAATAACTAGTACAATACCCGTGTATTACACGGGTGTTGAATTAGAAAGCTTTTGTAAAAAAATATTATTTTTTTTATTTTTTTTAAAAACTATAATAATTTAATTTTATATAAAATATTATTTTGGGTTTTAATTAAATTATCAAATTATATTTGTTTAATCATAATAATTAAACACCCGTACATTAAATGAAAATGTCAACCCATGTTGAATTTTTTTACTTATATCATATAAAAATATCGATATTATTTACTATTACATAAGTACAAAAATATATATCTTAAATAAATATAAATAATATGGTGATATGTATATGCATAAGTGTAGAATATGTTTATTTAATATTAAAAAACATATTATTATATATTTTAGTATAACACATATTACTTGTGCGACTTATATGTTATATTATAATAAATTAACATATAACTACATTAAAAATAAATATATTAATTGATAATAATTTTATTATCTAATTAATTTTAATAAATAATTTTTTTATTATTATAAAGATAAATATAATTTTTGTTTATTTTATATATACAATATGGATGTCAAATCGAAACTCATCAAAAGATGATTAATTTGATATATTATATATGTAAAACCGATAAGAAATACAAAAGTTATCAACTTTTAAAATATATTTTTAATTCAATAGTTATAATAGGAAACGATATTAAAATACAATTAATATAAATATTAATTTATATCCAAGTCTAACTCCAAAGCATGATTTTTTGTCAAATAAGATTCAGAATGAGAGTTTGCCACGTGGTTCAGCGCACTCTGAAATTATATATAGAGGGAATTTGATTAGATATATTACAATTTATATATAATATTATAAATATATTACTGTATGTGTGGGATGGACGGACACTGATAAATTTTAATAACCGGAAAGGCTCCATTTACCTGACCCGATTCATTTTGAACTAGTCATGGTAAATTTCATTATGAACTAACTAGTGTGTATCCCGTGCGATGCACGGAAATATTATTAAATTAACAATATTATAAATAGACCTCGAGTTTGAGTCAATGGCGGAAATGAAAACTACTATTGATCCTATTTAAAAAGAGGAAGAAAAAAAATTATTATAAATAAAAGAGGAGGATAAACAATACTTAATAATTATAAATTAAAGATTCGGGGTCAAACAATGTAAAATTATTTTGTATAAGAGAATATAAAAAAATTTGATTACACACCATTTCAAAATTATTATTATACTTTTTGGTACTGTTAGCTTAGAATATTTGTAAAAATATTAGTAATTAGACCGATGAAAATTAGCTTCTTAAAATAGATTTTTTTGCCTATTCAGATTTGTCCAACAATTACTATATATAGAATATATATAATGATTTTGGCGGGAAAAAGTTTCTAAATTTGTAAAAAGGTTATTCTTTTTATATAATGATAGATGACCTACTTCCGTGTTGTTTTAGACAGTTTTATCAAATGATATTAAGAAATAAGACATATCAAATTATTAAAAAAAATATGTAATTAATTTCTTTTGATGTTTTCTTAAANAAAAAAGTGAAGGAATAAATTAATCACTAATAGTGGTCAATTCGTGACAGCTTTTCTGTACCATATCTTTGTTTTAGTTGTTTCACATTTCTGTCATTTTGCATTTGGCTGTGAAGCCTGTGATTATTGCTCTTTAGTAAAAGTATAGAGTGATGCTGAAAAAGAAAAACCCCGACCTCGCCTCCCCATGCTGTGCTGTTATTTTACTGTACAATTCACTATATTCTAAAAACTCCACCTAACAGGCCTACAACAAATTGGAAATTTCTTCTCAGTTTCTTCATTAGTCCGCCATTTCTTTCTACATTCACTTTTAGACACGCGCGCACACACGCACACGCACACACACACATATATATATAGATACACATTGCTTTCTCCTTCACCATCCATTATTTAGTTACTCTTCACTTACCAGCATTATTAGATAATTATTACTAACTTCAATCTTTTGGTACGTTAATTCGACCAAAATCAAGAAAACAAAAGAGATGAAATTCGGGAAAGAATTCACATCGCAAATGGTGCCCGAATGGCAGCAGGCCTACATGGACTACCGCCTCCTCAAAACCCTTCTCGAGGAGATCCACCAGTCCAGAAATCGGGCCCAGCCCGGCCCAAAGCGCAGCCTCACCCTCTACCGGGCCTTCAGCGGCCTCACCCAGCGGCCCAACAGCGGCCCACAAACACACGATGTAGAAAACCAGGCGATTGTGGTGAACACCGTGAACGAGAAGTCGGAGACCACGTTCCTGACGGCGGCGGACGAGCAGGAGGTCGCTTTCTTCAAGCAGCTGGACGCTGAGTTCAACAAGGTTGTGGGCTTCTACCGGGCTAAGGTGGAGGAGGTGGTAGAGGAGGCCCGTGGGCTCGACAAGCAGATGGAGGCCCTGGTAGCCTTTCGGGTCAAGGTCGAGGGCCCAACCGGGTGGGCCCATCATGGGCTGGAGGAGGAGAGGAGGAAGCTGGAGTGCCACGTGGCGGAATCAGGGGCTCCTCTGGCTTCCACTTCTCCACTGGCCGTGGTTAGGAGTAGCAGTAAGTGCTTGCTTTATTTCGCATTTATGATATGATTTATGTGAGAATGTTTATGTGGAAAGGGAGATTTGATGACATGTGTGATGTAGTATTTATTTTTATTTGATTTTTTTGTTTGGGGAAAAATGTGTTCTTGGTTTTGGTCGTTTGGTAATCGAGATTCGGATGTTTGCTGGAAAAATTGGCTGATACGTTACTTTCCTATTAAACTTGTTGTATGTTGATTTATATTTTCGAAAATCTAAAGAAATTTTTAGTAGTTTGTTTTGTGAAAAATACTTTTTGAGTTGTTCTGTATATATTTGTAGATTTTTCTTATATTATCAGTAATCAGTAAGATACTTTCATTGACTACTGGATGGAAAATTTGATGCAACTATAAATTTACAGGTAGAATTCAAATAGATGTTATAGATGAAGAAATTTCGACCAATGAGGGGGGCCTAGATGATGAAGATGGCCGGGAAATGAAACCAATAGATCTGAAAAATCAAGAAAATGAGCAAAATAAGATTATGAAGCCAGCACCTGTAGATGTGCTTGAGCGTGTGAAGTTCAACTCCTCACAGGAAACACCTCGATCGACGATCAAAGGCATTTTCTGTCTTCCCAACCAAACAGAACTTAAGTTTAGTGAGGATGTTTTGAGAAAATCAGAGGAACAACTTAAGAAGGCGTTTGTTGTATTCTACCGCAAGCTGAGGCTTTTGAAGAAATACAGGTTAGCCCAGAAAGAAAAGAGATGAAAAAAAAAAAGTCTAGTTCATTAAATTTATATTATTTTTCAGTGTACTGTTTGTTTTGTTGTGTTGTGTTGTGTTTGCTTATTGTGTTTTATCATGCAACAGTTTCCTCAATATTCTGGCACTCTCGAAAATCTTGAAAAAATACGATAAGGTACCGGCCTGAACGATCTCTGTCTCACACGGCATGCTGAAATTTCTGTAATGTGTACATCATTTTATTACACATGGATAGGCATGTCAGCTCATTACATTTCCTGTCTCAACTTATTTGCAGATTGCTTCAAGAAGTGCATCGAAACCTTATATGAAAATGGTCGATAATTCCTACCTCAGCAGCTCGGACGAGGTGAGTTTTATGCTTAAGATATGTTCCATACAAAATTGTCGTATAATATTTAATATCCACCCTTCGTTTATAGATCTATTACATATTTCATAAAAAAGTTGCATTTTGTTGTATAAGTTTACATTTGTGATTACTGTTATAGGTCAGCAAGTTGATGGAAAGGGTAGAAGCAACATTTATCAAGCACTTTTCCAACTCGAACCGTAGTAAAGGGATGAATATCTTGAGGCCGAAGAAGAAGAAGGAAAAACATAGAATTACATTCTTTATGGGTAAGCTTAGATCATTTTTCTGTAAAGTACTAAATTAGCAACAATGTTTTTATGGGCTCTTTTGTTTAGATTCTTAATAT